TGTCAAATACAAAATTCACACACTATCAACCATACCTTTTATATATATATATATATATATATATTTGCCATCTCAAATTATTCTACATTGACTTATAGCAAAAGAAATTTGTTCGGTGCCCTTTCTATATATATATATATATACACACACATTTTTGCTATAGCTACTTTGAAGGTTATTTCATTACTTGATTTCACATTCTCCCAATACTTTTGATAGTAAGTATGAAAAGATCAAATATCTTACAGGCAAAGACTATTGGAACTGGCTATTCTGGATATGACGATTATGTCCCCATGGTTGATAAGGCTGTCGACTCGGGATGGAAGAAAGATACTTTCCAACAAAAGCTCCATCTTTCTAAAGGTCAATTGCACTTTACTTCAGTACGGCCTTTCAAACATAATTATTTGAATTGTAGTTTATCATTTAATCTCCTATTCCTTAGTTCCCTTGTCATTTTTCATCTTTTCCATTTCATTCTTGTTTATCCTTCATTCTCTAAACTATATTTAGTTTAGCTCCTACTTAACGTTTATCTTAGATTTATTACCTTGAACACTTTTAAAACAAAATTACTTGAAATTGTATTTTATGATATAACGTATTCCTTTTCTGAAAAAACTGGGTTCACAACACCAACATTTAAAGTAGAAAACATATTTTCCTCATAAAAATTGAGTTTTGAAACAAACTAAGACCAAAATTAACAAATCAACAGAAAAAAAAAATAGTCAATATGTATGAAAAAATATGGTTTCGCACTAAAAATAACAACATTTAAAGTGGAAAGCATTTTTCATCATAATTTCAAAATTACTAATTGCCCTGCGTTGCAACTTCTGAAATTACAAAATCATTATTAAAAGGTCGCTTAAAAATAATAACCTATTGGTGGGGGTGTTTCTTGCAATTTGACCGTAGCTCAAGGCAATTCTCGCAATTAACCCCTGCCATTTTTTTTTTCATCAAGACTCTAATATTTGTCCTTACTCTACACCAGACACTCTCCCGACCCCCGACTCCCAAAAGGCTCCGGAAAAAATCCACGCCCGGCTTCTGGCCTTTTTCATGACCCTTTTCTTGTTTTTCCGTTCACTATCAAGTCGTGCTACGAGGAAGCTTCCGGAAGCTCCGGTGCAGACGAATGAGGAATTTACTTTCGAGACG